ATAAAATTGATGTTATTTTAGATGAACGTGTTGTATTGACCAATGATGGCAAGATTCAGTACTTCCTTGTTTGTTGGGTAGATTGACGTGCTTCTTATGCTTCTCATTATGTACAATCATGTGAAAATCTTGAAGATGAGGTGCATGAGTATTGGTTATTTAGAATCCAGTATCAGTACTTGGTTAAAAGGAAAGATCGCCACTTTGGTCAGATCATATTCTCGTGAATAAGCTACAGTTTTCAGTACTATTAATCATGGAATTTTGTTACTTGGTTCGTCAAAAAGATCGTCCCTCGTGGCTTGACTTGAAACATTTGGAGTATCAAATTGACTACAACCTATAGTGATCTATCAACTCGACAGGGTCGAGTTTTTCTCCCACCCCGAGAGAATTGATAAGAACATCATCTATTTTATTTCTAGCTGGACTTTATTTTATTTTGTGGACTTTATTTATGTTTTATATTTTTATTTATGTAATTTGGCTTGTATTGGCCCAAGTCTCAAGTTCATTCTAGTTAGGGTTTTAGTCTTTACTATTTAAACCTAATTGCGATTTAATTTCAGTAGTTGATGAATGAATAATATTTTGGTAGCTTGTGGTAAAATCCCCCCTCTTCCCCGTTCTTCTTCTACTGTGGAATCTTCTTTTTTCCCAATTCTTTCCTTCAATTCCCCCCTTCCCATAAATCCGTTCTGACATTCAATTAATTGCTCGAGTTGGTGCTGCATCAGTGTTGGTCTTGCATAATAGGTGGACTGAGTTAAACAAAACACACACACAATTGCAGGGAAATTACATCTACTCGAGGGCGTGGAAGATGAATAAACGGAAGCACAGAAAATTTTATGAGATGTGAAGTCGTGAACGTAAAACATTTTGTCCTCTAATTACACGATTATGCATATGCATATTTATATATCTATGTCCACGACTCTCTCAGCTTGTACCAAATAGAATATTAAAGCTCCACTGGTTTTCCTTCCAATATGTCTAGAAGGTTTCAGCAATGGTCTTGCATAAAAGCAGGCTCGGCTAAACACACACGTACAGGGCCAAATAACCCAATTCAAGGGCATGGAGGCTGGGTATACGAATAAAAAAAATAAATTATAAGACATAAAATGATGTCTGGTGCCTGGTGAGAGCAGAAGCCAGAAGAAGAAGAAATCTGAAGCTGGGACGCAATTAAAGCTGAAACTGAGGTTTCCTCAAGTCTCAATACTGTATGTACGTTTTCCAACCTTTTTTTTTAAGGGAAAAAATAAATAAATAAAAATTGAAGAAATCTCTATAAAATTCTCCATTTATGGCATTTAATTTTTGGCACTCTGCAAAATAGAAAACTGAAATTATAACATGTCTAGTTGAAGGAGGAAGACTTCATAATAAGAGCAACATAAAATGAAAACAACTCCCCAGGAAGAAATTGATCTGGGAAAAGAAAAGACTAAAAAATTGGTTCTTCTCATCTCCTGTGAGGGATGGTAGGTTCAAAGTCTAAGGAAGAACACCACCATCATCAACAAAAAATAATAATAAAAGCATAAGATCCTATCTTGGTTCCATCCTTCGCTAGAATGTCACAAATGACGTCATCAAAAACTAACACCACAAAAAAAAAATGCATCTATAAATAAATAAAAACAGAAGTCCCAATATAATAATAGCATAGCTTGATTTCATGCCTTCTTAGAAAGCAGTTAAGCTGATAAACAATCATAGAGAAAGAACGCATGCCATAATTTTTGACAAAAAATATGAAACAAACTGCATTGTTAGGGAGAAACAGCAGACCTTCAGCAGCTAATGTGCATGCTCTCTCCAGGCAAACAGCACAAATCTCAGCTTCATCAGAATTGGTTGCTGAGGAGAGCAACCCATACTCTCTGCAGAAAGCAACCCAAGAAGAAAATATAATTATCACATAAATATGCATAAAACTCTCATCATAAAAATCACTTAATATGCATCAGGAAAAATGATTATAATCATCACATAGATATGATATATATTCAAAAGATTTAAAGGTTAAAGATATCTGATGCTCTACAGAAGCAAGATAAGCGAGCAAAACATACACCAGCTTGTTAGGGTATATTTAATTTTCTGGCATTCCATCAGGAATTTACCTTGCTATATTAAGTACACTCATGAGTGGCAACGACAAATAATTGGAAGGTGGAAACATCGGGATTGTCAAGTCAGAATTAGGTGAAAGCAGTGGCTCAAGCCAATGACGACCACACATCCTTGCAATATCAAGAGGAAGCCATCTGAAACATGCAGAAGTCCAGGAAATGTTGTAGGAAAAGGTGTAATAATGAAAGTCAAACAATCAATAGTTTAGAGCTGAAAAAAAATACCCATTGCAGTTTAAGGCCAAACAACTGGCGCCTCTTGCAACAAGAATCTGCAGAAGTAGAGAAACAATAAAAAACACATGTCAATTATGAATATCAAAAATCTTAGACAAGGAAATCATTTGATGAAATGTATTAGAATGAGAGTTAATGACCTGGCAACACTTCAAATTCCCCCCACAAGCAGCATAGTGCAAAGGAGTGCTTCCGGCTCCTAACGAAATATGATTGCAGAACAGGTTCAAGTTACACACATGAAGTTTTTTCCAACATTATGAAGAGTGAAGACCAAGGAAACTACATACCTATCAAATCCATTGATGTTCCATAATGGAATGTCACAGTTGACACATCTGCATGAAGATCGAGTAGAAGCTGTACACAGTCATAATATCCATTCAATGCAGCCATATGAAGAGCAGTAATACCTCCATCAGCAGCCTTATTTACAAACTTGGAAAGACCACTGCAACAGGACAAGGAAAATATATTATGATTGGTTTAAAGATTGAAGTTTCTAGCAGATTTCAGTTACAGAACTCAAAACTCTTGGAATATGTGGAGTTTATAATCAGAGGGTGGGAGAGGCATTTTTTCGATAATGTGAGAAAATGATGATGTGTGAGATCTCCCATTGTAAAATTTCTGCAGCAGTGAGTGGACATAGTACCATAAATCTCTATGCTCTTGTTCATTTTTACGTCTTTTCCATTTTTATTGCTCTCAGAGTTAGGAATTAAGGATTAACCGGAACTTTTACTATACTTACAATAAACAATGAGGAAAGCATAGGTATAGCAGCTTCCTTATCAAACAAAAGTTTCAGCTTTTACGCTGCCCAACAAAACTTAGAAAAGTTCGATAATGTAATCAAAATGGGATGCATATCAGTTTTGTTTTATTAAATGAGTCAATTATCTCCGTTAAAGAAATCATGATAGAGCCTGAATAAAGATCTTAATTCAAGAAAGTCATCAAAATCTTCCCAGATGGCATTCTTGAAAGTCATCAAAATCTTCCCAGATGGCGTTCATCTTTTCCATATTACTATTTTAATGATCTTAACATGATCAGAACTGCTTCAAATTAAACCATCTCAACCAAGGTGAAAATGGTTGAAAGTAATAGGAACAGCAAAGTAACACAACTAATTCATCCTCATTTCTGATTCCCATCTCTATATTTAGCATAAATTTAACTTGCAAGCAAGAAGACCATATGAGCACAAGAAAACACAAACCTCTGTTCATGCTTGCTTTTAGTATTCGAACTGTCACCATTTGTTTGTGTATTTACAGATTCAAATGGAGCACTTGGAATAAAATCAGCGACAGCTAATCTTAAACACCTCACGTGTCCATTCACTGCCGCAAAATGGAGAGCAGTCCTTCCGCTAAGATAATCTGCTCTTGTAACCTGAAAGGAGGCCCCGAAAAACTAACTAAAAGATCAAACAATAAATACTCCATTGGATCAGCAAGAAAACTTTTGAAATTGACATCTGAGTTTATAGCCCATCACTTCGGGGATCAACAACTATTAATTATTCAATATTCGCTAGATTAACCTAAATCAAAAAAATTAACAGGAACAAAAAGACTCTTTTTCTAGAGGAACAACTCACATTGCATCTAAAGAGAAGAAGTGTTTGAACAACTTCCCAGTGGCCATATCGGCATGCTTGCATCAATGCCGTCTGCAGAAAACTATTAAAATTTTAAAAAGGTTTCCAACTCAAATAGACTAGAGATCCATCAATTGGTCTGAAATCCAAGAAAAATTTCCAGCTACATTTTATCATAATTAATCTATCACAGGATCAAAATAACACTCGGACCTGATCTCCATAAAATGTTGAATAGCAAATCAGAAATATGCATACCAACTTGTACACACTCATCATATGTATATGTAAAAACCCCAATTCATGATCCACAACACAATGCAACATAATTCCCCAAACGAAATAAATTAATTAATTAATTAAAATCCCTGATAAAAAAAAGTTACAATCTTGTACCTGCCCACAGTAATTTCTTGAATTCACATCAGCTCCATTCTCCAGCAACAGCCCCACAATCTGAAAACTCGAAATTCCGAAAATAAAAAACCCACGTCCAAAAGGATAATTAATCACATACACACACACAACTATACAAGAGCAAAGACAAAATTTATTGATGGGCTTATCAAGAAATGACCAATTTTTATTTTTTATTTTTAAATGATTAGACCTCATTGTGGCCTTTAGCCGCAGCAAAGTGAAGGGGAGAGTTTAATCCACCAAAAGTTGAGTATTTTGCAAGGCATGGATTGCAATCCAACAGCATTCTTGCTTCTACAAAATCTCCATCTCTAGCTGCTGATACCAACCTCTCCCCTGAAGCTGAGCACCCAAAAGAATTCCCCATTCTTGATTCTAGGCTCTTGAATTTTTTTTTTCACCTCTACAAAATGACCAGCTTTTGTTTCTATCTCTAAATCTTTATTTAGATTGTGTGTGTAATTTTATATCTAACATAGGATTATCGGAATTACAATTAGATTAAAATAAAGACTCAAAGAGAAATTCGGTCAACTGTCGTTAAACAAATTATTAACAAGCAGAGGAAAATGGAAAAAGGAGGACTAACAATGAGAAATTAGAAAGAGGAAATATCTTGGACTATATCAAGTGCAAAGATTTAATTTTATTTTTTTTCATGAAAAAAAGGAGAATTACACTGACGGAGTTCTGCATTCCTGATTTTAAGGGCCATGGGCCCGTGTTAGGAAAAATGTCTTCTAAATTTATTATTTTTAATTTTCTTTGTCCGTGTTTTTGGAAAATGTAGATTCAATTGGCCCCCTATTTGAGCCTCTCTTTGTGGAAAAATATGTTTGAAATAGTAATTTTTAGAAAATATGTATTTAAGAATAAGAAAAAATTTTAAATTTACACATAGATTTATTTGATGGGAGAATTGTGTGAATTGAAAATAAGTTTTGAAAAAATGATTTATTGGAAGCATGGAGGCCAAACATAGTACGTATTCAATTATCAATAAGTTAAAATGCATAAATTTCGTCAAGACAACCATTTTAAAACACTGCATTATACTATGTTATATTCTTTTATACACACATATCTTTTTATTATATGTTTCATGTAGACATATTGCTCGAACTTTTAATTTAATGTACCAAAAATCAGAAGTATCTAATTCTTAAAAGGTCGTCTCAGCTTCACACACAGAGCCAGACATACGACATTATCTATACCTACATTCTACGTAAAGATTAGGTTCCTATGGTGGACTGATTGAATCAATGAATGAAGGCAAGCTGTGCTTTGGAGTAAAGAAAGTATCATGAGACAGTAAAACCAAATGACTGGTAGCTGTCTCTGCCCTTTTCCTACAAAACATGCTGGCAGACTTTAAAGTTTTTGTATTGTAACTATCAAAATAATTTCACACGAAAACGAGTGACAAGGCTCGGATTTGGAGTGGAGATTGTCCTCTCAATTTTTTATTTTTATTTATTTATTATTATTATTTTTTTTTTTTTATCCCTTTCGACTCCGTGTTATTAGTTAGAGAATCTTAGTCTATGGACTAAAATCCATGTGATAGATAAATAAAAAGACTTCCAGTTCACGCAATGGTCAAGTATAAACTTCATCAAAGATGACTTTCGTCTGTAACTCAAATTTATTCGATAAAAGAGATGTTACGGGTAGTTCACAATGTTGACCCCAATAAATGTTGTCAACAGATACTGAATCCATCCGCGCTCACGTAAGCGAAAGTCCAACACGCAAAAACACGTGGACGGTCTAAAAAGGACAGATCAAGGGCGTGGGAGTAGCTCAACGACGCGGGACGAGAACGTTCGGAATCTGGCGAGATGATCGTAGACCGATTGTACAATAATTACCAATCGATGTTTGCTAATGTGTTTCTAAATATGTATGAACTCGTTTATGTTGCAAGATAATAAGAAAGAGAGAGTTGAGTAAATTATGGTTTTTTGTATTGATTCTTGCATTAGCCTTTGTACGAGGTACATGAGGGAGTATTTATAGTGTCACTAGTTAGATCATGATCTTTGGTTCGGGGTACACGTAGCCTCATCCGGTTGAGTTACATGTCAAATTATAGGCATCAGCCGCACCTAACCTGTTATACTTTATTAATTGGCAGAGCCGCCTCTACTAGTGACAAGACTTAACATTTACACTCATGGCAAACGTCCTATCAATCATTCAAATAAGATCTTTGTGCAAAAGATCTCTTGGAAGAGGTGTTTATGGAAGATGTTGCTTTGTGCTTCGGAGGCTGTCACCTCGACTACTGAGTTTCGGCAAAAAGGGCATCGACCATCTTCAAAGGGCCTCGGCATATGGGTTTCGAAAGCTCTTCATGAGGTAATAATAAATGGGCCTCAATGTATATGGGCCTAGGCATCTGTGGACCTCGATTGTGGGCCTC